ACTTACTCTGAATCGGAAGGGTTTCAAGTTTTTGTATATGATTTACAATCTCTTAGAGTAACAATGGTACCACACAAAGTTGATTGAATATAAATATTACAGTGTTTTTCTCCATATGACTAGTACTGTGTTTATGATTACTGTGCATGATTATGTATTGAGTATTTCATATCAAAATTTCTATTTTTAGACATATAGTCCCGTTACTGTTTACAAAGATATCTTGTACAAGCGGAAAGAATGTTAACTAATATGTATCCACTGCACAGTGGTTGGTGAAGTATTAGGACACAATAAATTTCGGTCAACGTTTTATGGATGATCATGTTCTCTATATAGCGTCAAGACTGATACTTTAGATTGAGAAAGACATTTTCGCTGTAGTCATTGTTAATCTGTTAACAGAACGAAGAACAACGGAAACCGAGTCCAGAACTCAACTTCGAGCAGTGTAGGCGTATGCTATGGTGGAGTTGGATAATAGAGGATCCAGGAGAGGGAGGGCATCAGTAGGTTGGAACGAACAGGACCGGAACGCGAGAATGTCCGCAAGGGGGCGGGGATCTAATCTAGCGAGTAGATGAACTACTCATGTGCGGTCATAACCTAGGCCCTCACTGGCAGACCATTAACATGATGCGCGCATTGGCATGACGAGCTGACGAGCCACATGGAGGGTCACCTTGATGATTTGAACATCAGTCATTCCGGCATAATCAAGCGAGTTAGGCACATCAACCGTGCTTTTCGTAGACGAAGTTGACCGTGTCATCAGTCGACGATGCCCGTAGCCCACCTGCTCCAGTTCCAGGACAGTCCAGTACTGCTCAGCGTGATGGAGCAAGCGATTCTCAACGAAGACGGATGACGCTAACAAATTGTGAACAAAGCAAGCCGGACCCGACCTCTCATCTCACCCCTGCAAACCTCACGCGAGCCTACAGGGCTGAGCTCAGGAGTTTCTCCTCCTACTGTTTTGGACCGCAATGTGATTGTTATGCTGCAGCACCAGCCTCACCAGTGTGGAAGCCGGTCGGTCCGACACGAATCACAACTTCCACATGGGGTCCTTAGGAGTGACGGGACCAGGACAAGGACACAAGCGATTGAACATATCCCTTCCAAACCAATGCGCTACTCACTTCCATCAGCACTCATTCATGACGGCATCAAACCCCAACAGATACCCAACAGAACTCGTATTGCAAACTCCAAAAATCCCGATCCTAAATCGGCTTCACTCTGTCAACAGATTACAACACACGAAAGCATTTGGTCTGATTTGTTGAAGTTTTCTCCAGCCCGAGGTATCTTAGCGAGCTCCGTCCGAAGTGCCCGAACCCGTCTGGCTATTCTGGCAGAGTCCGGTCAGCGCAGGAACCTCCGTCATCTTAGCACGGAAAGTAGTTGTTCCACTGAAGACCATCTTGGCCTGACCTGACCTGACCTGACTTGACTGGACAGCAGTCGGCGGACTTCATTGCTCCAGAAGCTGCTCCTCAGAGGAGAACTGGAATACACCTCGCTCACCGGCTGCAGCCCGTGAGTGACTGGCCGTTGAAGTATCGGTGGTGCAAGGTTCAGACAAATGGTACACACCAAAGCTAACGCGCTCTTCCAAAAGCCTGGCTACTTCTGTCACAGCAGAGGCATCCACCCCTCCCTCTGGCTTACTCCTCGGGACCTTCAATCGCTGTGTAAGTATATTTAGACTAAAGTAAAGTCAATATTTGGTCTTTTGGCGACTTTGTAACATGCACCGTGCAGGCCCAAGAACCTCTTTTATAAGTTTGTTCTAGGCGCGAGAACCTGCTTTCTTGTACAGCGAGGTCTCCGTAGAGTATGGGACAGGCTTCTTAAATTTGTCCGAAAGGAGTCCAAAGCCATGCCACTTGCCGCATCCTAGCAAACCAGCACTTGGTCGTTCCAATCGTCACCTCATTACCTTTGTGACGGAAAGAGACATACGTATGAATACAAATTGATCGACACATGAATAAGATGTAAATTACGCGTGAAGGAGGGTGAGAAATCTAGGATTTATGTTTAGGCGGTAGAAACCCTATGCAATGTACAATAAGTGTGACACGTCTATATTTGTATTTTAATTGAGTTCTCCTCCTCATGAGATTTGTAACAGGTGCTCAGAATATAATATGATCAAAACGAGGAAGGAACGCTGAAAGATGTTCACTCTTCAGCTTTTGTTTTGGTTTAGATAAGACCTCTCTGTACTTATAGACGATATGAATGCAATTCTATTCTAGAGTCTCCGAATATTCTAGACTAGCCCTAGCTCTAAAGCCGCTACCAGTGTCCGTCCCTCGAAGTCTATGCTCTTCCTCTCTTGAATTTGTTTCAGCTTTGGGAGCTCCCGAGGAGCAAGAAAGTGTACAACCGGTTCAAATCAGCAGTAATATCTGTATATTCAAATATTATGTATCGAGCCAGCAGAGCTGAGGCATGAATTATTTTTATCGGGAAGCAATTTGAAAGACAACTGGAGGCAGTGCTACGGGTCCTTACAACTGGCAGCTGGCAGTCGCGAGCAGGTCGGACCCCACCCGGTGGAGATGCCACGTGCCCCCTCGCACGTGCTCCGAAAAATCCATTCGGTGCTTTTCCGAGGCGAAGGGCGCGTTTCTTTCCGTTTACACTTCTTCCCCACCGCTTGTTGGTCCGCTCCGCTACTCCGACCTGCACAGTCGCTTATTTAGCGGCCAGTCTGGTCCATGCCATGCAGGGTCTCACGGAGACCGTACCCATCTTTGGCGCTGCTACTTTCGAGACCACTCTCGCGGGTGATTGGCCGGCCCTGGGTCAAAATCCAATTACTTTTGACTTTGGTGAGGTATTGATTCAGGATCATTCCAAGTACGACAACCCGTTGCATTCAACGTCCTGAACTCTGAGTCGACACGACAGGCTCGTTGCAGGATTTATCAGCCTGGCCGAGCGCACTCGGAACAGCTCGGCTCGTCGTCAGTGGGAATATTGTTGCAGTGTTGCCATTCCTCTCGGCTTGTGGCACCTCCTTCCTTCCTCCCTTCCTTCCGACCGCCCGGAGATATCTTACTTGCAGCGTGGGGTTCTCCATTCCATCAGGAGGTCAAGCAGCCCGAGCTCGTCGTTCTCCCTAACTCCAGCTCCGTACCGATCAGTACAGTAGATAAGCAATACCGTCAAAGTGAAGTGATCGGATCTATGAGCATGGGTAATGGGTAATGGGATGTGGCCCCAGCTCACCATCAACGCTGTCCTCGATTAGACGAACATATAATGCTCCCCTGACATGCTCTTCAACGTTATAAACGAACGATGTTATGTGGCTTCCGGATGAGTGATTCCCACCTGCAGCATTTTTATTGATCTACCCTTTTCTTGGCCACTCTTATTCCATCGAACCTTTAAGTTTGAAGTTTAGGGTTGTCCTCAATCATATCACACTCGCGAGCTTGACTCGTTCAAAATTCACATCCATATTTCCGCGTCACTGGGAAATCCCATCGCGGTGCTCTGTGGCGTTCTGCACTGTAAGTGTGAAGAAGTGATTGTAAGCAAAAGCGGTGCCATACACAAATGGTCAAAATGGTCAAAAACATCTAAAAATGTTATCATCTGCAAGAAAAAATGCCTTGGAGACTTACGGGAAAATTGTACAGCATTAGATTATGAATTAAATAGTTGGACTGGAAAGGTGTGATCACACAATTTAACGGGTGGACATAAAACTGGACAGGTCTGACAGGAGCGCATGTTCACGTGTATGTGAGAACGTAGCATGAAGTAAGCTTTAGAACTAAAAGCATGATCGATATGCATAAATCTACATGGTGGATCATTTTTATATGTGTCAAGCTTGTTAAGTTCCTTTCCGTATGATTTAAAGAGAAAGGACAGACATTTATTCATCTCTTGATAATGAAGAGATTATGACTATCATGAATTCCAAAACCAATATAGCAAAAAGGATGGGGAAACCCCCATGAAGTCGTACATGGAGCTAGGCCCCAAAAGCATCATAAAATAAAATATTTTACTCCGGAACCCAGGAATTTGAACTATCTACATCAATATCTACATACTACTGGAGTCAAAAACGAAAAGCGTGGAGAAAAAATTGGTCACACAATTCCACATCCCTATGGAGCATATGGAAACTAGGGGAAACTCTATGAAGAATCTTCCAAATACACATGAACCGTACTTGATCATAATGAATACATTTCAGGTCTGGCATATGAGCCACTAAGCATTTGGTTTGAAGTCGTAGGCGTTATACTATAGCGTAGAACATCGAGACTTTAGGAAAGTGGTCGGCGAAGGGATGCTCGTGATCAGGAGGGCTTCTGAGGAATGGTTGGCGTTTGATATTTCCAGATTCGAAATAGAGAAAGTTCGACGGTAATGAGTATCGTGAATGATTTCGATTAGTTTATCCTGTTTGATTTAGCCTCGTCTAATATATAAGCGGAGATTAGCAAGGTGACTAGGCTTTCCGATACACGGACATCGAGAGCATGAAGTGAATAAGTGAAGTGGGGGGATGTACTGGAAGCAATTGAAAGCTCCGGTGGCCAGTGCTGAATATAAGAAGGTGGGTGTAAGAGGGCCAAGCAGTATCGTCTTCCGGAAGGATTTTGATGGATGCTACAGGAGCGGATAATACTTAAAAAGTCGCTTAGTTGTCTTTTGGTGTACAGCATAAAGCGTTCAGCAGCAGCCCTGTTCATACAGAATTATATTCATATCTTTGCCGAAGGGTACACATGAAGAAGATAAGTTCGTACAGGAGGGCGGTTAGAAACGTGCAAGATGATAGCCCTCCTGGCAGTCGCCTCTTGTCCCTCTAAAAAATTACTTCTTATATCCTGGTGGACTTCTCTTCCAAATTTAGCAAAGCGGTCGACCTAGATTTGCTTTTGATTTGGAGACAACCAGAATAATCTGCAGCGCGATACTTTCATTTGCTGAGTCAAGTCTACGATTCGCGCGGAGGAATGTGGACTCGCAGAGCTAGAAGCACCGAGAACAAGAAGACACCTGTGTTTCTTTTTCCTCGTACTGCACATGAGCAAGTGTATGCGAAGGCCAAGATGGAAGCAAGCCGGATGCAACCACCGCTCATACGGCCAGCACTCCAGCCTAGCAAAAGCGGGAACTTGGGAACCTTGTGGCGTCGATCCGGAGCACAAAGGTGAAACAGCAAAAAGGTGACACACCAATTCTTTGTTCGGCGTCCGACCCGGCCTTAAGCAAGAACGAAGATGGTCGCGACGGCTGAAGTTCGTCCAGAGGAGACAACGTTCCGACCGAAGCCCCGAGGTGGACGAGAGCTCCTCAGGACACCGCAGTTTCAATGCTACCGCGCTCACCCAGTCAAAGGTTCGCTCGCGGTCCTCCCGTCAGGAAGTCGCTCAGAGCTACCGCTGGTGCCAGCATGGTCAAGCGGATAGCGAAATTCATCGTCCGCAGGGCCCGCTCTCCCCCGCCTGCTGCACAATGGTTTCCTTAGCGTGCAGCTGCGCCTGCGTATTCTATTTTTCGGACTATACGACTTCAACAACCTTTAAGCAAGCGTACGTTTGCGTTCTGTTGGCACTGGTGCCCGTGAGTCGCATTCCGCGGTTTCCACCTCCTCTGACTACGGTACTCGTACAGTACAGGTCTGATCTGGCTCCGGTCGAGCCCGCCGGCCATGCCTGCCCCGAACGGATGGAGTCGGCGCTGGTTGCGACTTGCGAAGCCCGGTGTTCTCGCCGAGGCCCGCAGTCCGGCGACTCCAGCCCCGCGCGGGGCCTCCCTGTCCGACAGCATTCGCCAGGCACGTGTTTCCTCGACCGCTGCCAGCGGGTGGACTGGCGTGGCGGCCATGGGCGCGACCGGTTAGGAGTGGGAGACATGCCCCGGCGGACCGGCTGGTGTGGGTTAGAAGAGGCCGGCCGAACGAGGGAGACGGTCCTTGGCACGCCTGCAGAGCGGAACCTGCAGCGTTCTTAATTTGCATCACTGTCCGCTCGGCAGTGGAATTTCGCAGCTCCCAGTGCTCGGGTCTGGCAAGGCACAGAAGGCCCGCAGGCGCCGAGTTTTGAGGGAATCGGCGGGCGAGCGTCTGAGAGGGAGCGGCAGGCCGTGTACCGAGTGTTCTACAAGACAAAGGGTATGATTTTGTGGTCACTGTAACTGACGGGAGTTTAGTAGGGTCGTTGCGTTAGTAGAGGAGGGTAATGCGGGCTGGCGGAAAGAAAAAGCGAGCAGGGACGGGGAGTGGGGGAGGGAAAGGAGGAGGAGGAGGCGGAGAGGAGGGACGGGGGAGGGAAGAAAATATGTGGAATTTTCGTGAAAAAAATTCGCATTGAAAACCCTAACAAGGAAAGGGTGGGTGATGCGAGTAGCAACGCCATAGCCAGAAGCTTGCAAGTTCACGACCATAACACTTGGCCCCTGCAAATGAAGTCCAGGTTTACGGACTGAGATTTGGTGTCCCCAGTCGAGAAAAAAAGAGGTGGATGCGGGTTTGGAAGAGCTTCTTGGTGGTGCATTTGTCTGATTTTATTGCGCCGAAGGAAATTTATTACAAATTTTTAAGAGAGGTGGACAGCTTCACGGCCTTCACCGAGGTCTGTCTGTACCCCGCTCATATATGCCGAGGACCCTGTGTGTCTTCCTCTTCGTTGTGTCTCCTCTACCTGCACATGCGCGCTCCGAAGAGCCACGAACATTCAATCATACAACACGCGAAATCACACTCACCGTAGTTGGTTCGGAAAGCTCAGTCCTCCCTTCAATAAACGAGGAAAAATAAACCAGACAACCTGTAAGACACGAGTCTTTTGTTCGCCTCCCATGTTCCCCTTGGTCCCGCAATTTCCTGTCTCATTCCTTTCTCCTTAAACTTAAGCTTCATCCCTGGCGGGTCCAAGGTCTGGATACTTCTCTGTTAGTGTCCCAAGTCCAACCGTCACTTCGAACTTGAGGCAATTTCTTCGTCACGTTCGGTTCGCTTGGTGTGTCTGTCTCCTAGAACGTGCCGCACCTAGCGAACGTAGGCCAATTTCTTTTGTAAGCCCAAGGTCAATTGAAGGTTTTTGAGTAATTTTTCTTCGTGCAATACTCTGCTGCTTTCACCGTCTCGCTTTTCAGAGTCCCTGCTCCATTGGCTGCTGTTTGTGTTCTCACCTGAGTGATGTTATATCGTGTTCGTATAGATTCTGCACCGTTTCCAGGTTTTTAATTGCCGTCTGTTACATTTGGCCATGCTTTCCTTGTTCTCCTTCACCTGTACTTCGCAGTTGGTCATTTCGTCGACGAGCTTCTACTGATTGTACCGTGAACTTCTCTGTTGTTCATGTCTGTTGCTTTGTAGACTGCCACATTTGGACATCAAAGACGGGCATATGCATGGTGACTGACGTTGATAGGCAAAGGTATTGTCGGCATTTCAACAAAGCTTTTGAAGGCCTTTTGAAGACGCATGGGGAAGCAAGGCCCCTGCTGTCATTGTTTCATTTCAAGTAAGTTACCCGGCTCGACTTCTGTGTACACAACTACTGTGTGAAATTTGAAATTTGGGCTTGTTTGTCAGTTTAAGGTATTGGTAACAAGTTCTATCTGTAAGATGTGAAGGTGGTTACAAAAGTTTAATTCTTGCCAAAGAACGTAAGAAATGTCGAAGTCTAGAAATTTTAGTAAGGAATTTCGAAGCATCACAGATTGGCTGCCTTCGGTCAAGGTTGGACCCGTTTTTATAAACGTTTTCCTCGATGTTGAGAAAGCAACAGTCACTTTTTTTTCTTACAGGAAATCCGTCTTGAACCTGCATGTCACACATGTATGATGCAACAATACCTGGCCGGCTTGCTGCCCAAAGACGTTGTATGTAATTTTCAACGGCTTCTGTGCCTGCCTATATCCTGAGTGTCGGCTCGTTTGCAACCTGTATCAACGAACAAACTGTACCCTTGTTCTTGTACACTTAGTTTGAATAATCTGCAAACCCATTCTTCTTCTTCCTCAACAAGGCTGGGGCCTTGTTGAGGAAGTCCTTCCCATTGTACTGAAACAAGGATACTTGGCTTTGAGGTTATCCGTTGCTGAATACCACTTGAATATACCCTTTTATGAATAATGAAGTCGCACTTTACTACCGCAGCTCAGCAGCAAATGTGGAAAACTTCATAGTTTCTCAAACTTACTCGGTTTTTTAAAGCACATGTATTCTAGTAGTGCCCAAGTTTCCCGTCTGTCCTTTTGGGTGAATTTCCCTCGGTGGCAACGCGATGGATTTTTCTTGAGGCATAAGCTCATCCTTTCCACTCCCGGCCTCGGCTAGTTCTCCAGAACTGTGTTCTACAAGTTCTATTGCTATTTGAACGCACTTGCTTCCCGGCCACCATTGTGAATTTTATCTCAGCTAACGAACCTGCTTGAGCAGCCTAAATTCTACGGAAGGAGGGCTGGCTGCTCGGATTCGAAACTTAAGTGCTTCGAATAATTGAACTACAGTATGGACATTGTGTGAACGAATTGCAATATACACAAAGAGTGTGAAATACCCTACGTTACTTTTATGCAGTATTTCTGAGGAGGGAGTAGCAAATCGTGCAAGAGAGTCACGATGTCTTGAGCTATTCCCTTCTACCTTTCCTATTCATGTGACATCCTTATACCACGCACTGTTATAAACGGATAGGTATGAAGGAATGATCATTTCTTTGATTCATTTTTTTTTCAACATATATACTATCGCGAATTATAGTCGAACTATGAGTTTGCCCTCTTCACCGAACATATTAGGAACCTACTTCCTCTGTACGAACCAGAGGCATGTTAGAGAAGTCCATTAAACGAACATGGGAATCTTTTCCTTTGCAGCCTTCTAATACTGTACAAGGGCAGTTTGTCCAGTGTTTCCTCTTCGTCTTCTGTCTAACTCGTGTTATCTCTTCATGCCAGGTCTTACATTCTCTCAGTCTGAAATGGTCCTTTGCCTCCTAAACTGAAACAGGACTTTATGATGGTCGTAAGGTCTGGTGTTCAATGTTTATAAGCCAGTAGTTAGTTTACGTATAGAAACTTTTTCTGCAACCCATGGAGTCGATGGATCCATGTAGGGGAATTTATAAAAATTGGGAAGGCTGCTCATGTAAGCCGAATGTAAGATGCTTACGCTGCATTGTGAATGCATATTGAGTGTCTAGAGGGCCTAGTTGACCAACTCTAGGAATATTTGCAGCAACTCCTCTGTGGCGAAATGGACCTCCAGAGAAACCAGTGCTCTGCAATGCATGCGGCTCACGATGGAGAACAAAGGGTACTCTTCAAAATTACATGCCAATGCATTCAGGCGGCTTTTCAGCCAACACGGAGTCTTCTGCAGATCTTAAGTGGTCACGGGGCAAGAAAGGCTCTCATAAGCACGAGCATAGGTCACATAAACGAAAGGAGCCGTGTGATGGTCGAGCAGAGCGAGACTCGACACAAAACCGATCTGCAGATCAATCTCTTTCAAAGGGTTACGAGGAAGATACGGTTTCTAGATCGTGTTCGGGTTCAGGGATGTGTGGTTCTGAAGGTTCTGTAAAGCGAGGGAGTTTTCCACCCAAAGATCTGCCAGGTTTGCTCATTCATATATGCACTTTCGATGATGCCTTAAGTTGCTAAGTCAGTAAATTCGGTTTCTGTCAAGCCTTCTGTGATGTCTTGAATCCATTGAACATCGCTCGTCTGGTACTTACGTTCTACCTTGTGTTTTGCCCTGTGTAGTCCTTGGAAACTTGTTGGTTGGATTCGGCTGGGAAGTACCTGCTGTGCCCCAGAAAACTCGCAGTACCACGTCTACTCGGCGTCGAACGGCATGTGATGTACTTACCAGGATTGCCAGATCCTTCTCTTCACCAACTGTTGACCCCTTGTTAATAGCACCACCTGCGCCAGGTGCATCCAGCGACGCAGTACTTGTTGAATACAATAAACCCTCACTGGTGGCGGTAGAGATAGGTCTCGGTAGTGTTTTTGTAAGGCAATGTGTATCATTAGCGGAAGAACCAGAATCGGAATCCAGTTTATTTTTAGTGGACAGCAGGGGCAATGAGTCCTTTAATGGTTTAGGGCACAGTGAGTCAGGAAGTGGAATCCCTTTCATACAGGATTTTCATGGAATCGACAGAGGATCAGTTTATAGGGGGAAAGATAAGGCAAAACAGGTTCCGAGAAAGCTGGATGCGGGGCGTTTGCACAATGACAAGAATCTTGTACCCAATAAAGCCCTTCTGTGAGTATTCACACTTTGTTCAACCTCTCGTTTCTCAGCAGTTAAGGCTAATTTAAATCTATTTATCAATGCATGGCGTTTGGTTTTCATTCGTGCATAAAGATGAGTGTTTATCCAACAAAATTTTTGCAAACCTTGTTTGATACCATACATAACTGGATGTCACCCTGACTTCCCCACATCTTCGTACAACTGTAAAAACATTAGTTTTGTTTTGAAGACCGGCTCATTCAGGAAGTTTGCAGTTTGCAGTCTTCGAGGCGAAATAACATTTTTTCTTTCAAATTTTCGCAGAGAGAATTTTCCTTACAACAAGCGGGACGTTCTGCAGAGTTATCAGTCTCCTTTAGTTTTTTTGGAGATGAAAGTAAGTACCCAGCGGCTGTCCTTACCTACAAGATCCTGTTTTAGTATCTAGGGAAAGGCATTGGCCGCTGCTCTTGTATTCTTCTCTTGTAAAACCATCCCCTATTAAACTCTTTTAACCCCTCTCTCAGGATATAGTCAACTTTGACACTTTTACGGGCCTTCTGACGGAGCAAGAGCAAGGCCAGTTGATGCAGTTTGTTTCTTCAGCGGATGTAGCAAGAATCCCTGAAAGGTGTGTTTGTCATGGAGTCACATTTGACATGACGAGGAGCTTCTTGTTAGTAAGGTTGAATGGAGAAGCTTTGTGCTGAATCGAAGCTGTCCATCCATGTCAAACAACGCTTGAAAATTTTAATGTCATGGAATGGGAAGTTCTTGCGGCCGTCGACATCTTGGAGCTCTTGCATTCCGTGACTAAGTGACCCAGGGCTCAAACTATCTACAGCTTTCCTTACCTGTGTTTCAACCCTACATTTATATTTATCTGACGTGATTCAAAAGTTCCCCAATAGTTCTACTTTTAGAACGTTGAATGAGACTAACTTCCTAGGCCATCAATAGTTACACACAAGACTTCAAGATCTTATCCTTGAGTTCATGTTCTCACGTAGATCTGTGTTGATTGTTGTTGGTGGTGTATGCAGCTTGAAGTCCATGTTCAGTAGTGATCAGTTCGATGGGGCTCTTGCCAATTTTCAACATCTTCTTTCAGAGGGGATGTTTGACGTGTCGGAGTTGAGTTCAAGCCCACGTGTGCTGCAACACTTTCAGCAGCTTCTACAATTACCAGAATTGACAAAATCTGGATGGTTGGAACGGTGTTCTCAGCTGCAAAATCGGAACAAGCGGAGAGGATCTGTAGATAGTACAAAGGTAAACACTCGGGATGTTTCTTCCATAAATATTTGAGGCAACGAAGATCCATTTTGAAAAAGATGCTGGCTTCCTAGAGTGCTCAAAGTATGATAGATAGTTGTAGCACCAACTTCAAGGTACTATAGTTATAGGATTCGCATACAATGACTTTGACAATTTTGTGTTGTCTATCGTTTAGGTGAACTCAACGAAGGAGACAAACAAAGAAAAAATGAAAGCATCACATGTGCCGGGAGCTGCTTCATCCGGATCTAGTGGGTTTTCTGGAGCAAAGCTTCCTGTAGGACATGCTTCCGAAAGTGAGTCCCCACATGGCTTTGAGATAATTCATTTGATACGTATTCTCTTTTTTCGTCAAAGTCTGGATGTGGAACTGGGAATAGCAATGGACATGGAAACAACATGCTTTGATCTAAAGCATCGGAATAAGGTAGTATTGACGGTAATAGAAATATATTTGCGTGAGTTATAGTGCTCGTGAATGCCTTTCGTTTTTTAGGTCTAAGAGTTTCATTCAAAAACTGTGAAGGCCTTGCACGTCTCCCGGGCTCGGCATGATCTTGATCAGCCCCCGAGATTTGTTTTCAAAATAGTATTTTTCCCCGAAATTGGGTAGTTTAGGCTTTCTCCTGCATTTTTTGTCAGTTTTTTTTCCTTCGGTTTTTGTTTGGGGTCTCTAGATTTCTTGTATATTAGGTCGACGTCGGAGGTCCCCAAGTTTCTTCACTTCGGTAGACCTACAGATTTACATTACCTGGAATTGTCTTGCCTTGTAAATATGGACTAGCTCGGCTCAGCAAGGTCGTGGTGTTCATGGCCATCAGGCCTTGAAAGAAAATACTTAAGAGTACATTTTCATACCTTCTGTCGGCAGGACAAGATTGAAGGCTATGCGCATCTAACGTACCCCGGTAAAGGTGTACGAAACTCTTCTGATTAATCTTGCTGTTTTGGAGTCTAACTACTTGCCACATCTACTGTTCATCTGGAATCAGAATCAGGCGAGGAACATAAACCTACAAAGAGCCTTAGCTTCAGAGGCCCAGCAATCTCGGCGACCTCCACGCTCTACAACACCAATCCAGTGAAGCATGGACTGAACATCAAACCAGAGACCGGAAGCTCTTCCAATGAGGCTGTGGCGACGGAAGCAGGTGTCAACACTGAAGGCCCTTGCTTCCCAGGCAACAGCCCGTTTCTCTCCACTGCAGAGAGGGAGCGGGCCATTGGCGACGAGTATAATCTGGACATGGGTGTTTTGGATTGTAGTGAGACAGATTCTCTTCTTTACAATCTCCCGAACCCCATGTCCTTCCAACAAGCAGAGCTGCTGCCGCAGCCATCCTGGGAGAAGAAGTCCATGAAAGAGGAAGAAGGTGATGTAAATCAACTGGAGAGCGGGGGCCTTATAATGAGCAATACTTGGCACATGGATCCAAACCCTGCTGAATGGGGTCTTTTTTGGAACAATTCCAGCTCATGCGTGGGGCCAGGACAGGCTTTACCAAGCGGAGCCGGCCTTATTCCGGGTCGGATGCTCATGTGATACGTATCGTGACCTGCTTCGAAGTGCCAACACAAAGCCCTTCTTATTTTTCATCACCCCACTGTTTATTTTGTTCAAAACTCACAGCCATACTCTCAGCAGCCTCCACAAGAGCAAAGGACCTGTAGTCATCCTTCTGCTTTTTGTGCTAATGTAATTTCATCTCGTCCAAAGTTTTTCTTTGTTTACCCTCCCCTTTCCCAGCCATACTAGGGGCAGGTATAGTTGTTAAAGTTCCCTATCAAGAGTGTACGATAGCCTACCCGGATTCATCTAGAGCAACTGTGGTTGACCTCGTGACACGCATACCTGTTTTGGTCAAGCCTCAAAGGATAAGACAGCACTTCCAATCATGCACCAGATCTGATCAATAGTTGCCCAAGCCTTCTAATAAGTAGAGACGCCTCCTCTCTTGCAACCCGCTACTCGCCATACTTGGTTAACCCCGGCTTTTACTGTGAAGAGACTACACGCGATTTTGTTTTTGGGTCGTTCACATGTGTCAGCTTTCCACCCTTCTATGTATCCACGCACTCATGCATGTCGGTTTTTTATGGTGTGTCGTGGGAATCTTCCTGCACCACCTGGTGGTACCAGTTTCTCACTGGTTAGACCCATGAATCAACACTAGTCTGTCAACGTTCCTCATCGGAAGTGACCACGGCGGAGTGCACCCTTTTTTCCCAAGCCTGGGGCACGGCCCTAGGCGTATGCATCTTCAGCACGGTATGACACTGGCCCAGTTCTGCGCAGGCGCTTAGTAGTGGATCAGAACCTTTGTACTAATAGAAGCCCAGATGCTTTGTGCACAAAATGAGGGGACTGGTGCTTATGAAAATAGTCCCTGATTGTGAACCAAATTTTGGTGTATGAAAAGTTTCTTCGAAGATAAACGAGAGCTCATCAAGTCTTCTTTGCCTGTTATTTTTGAAATTGTATCCTAAATGTGCTTTGGTTTTTCTTTAAGGGCAGGAAATTGATTATCAGAAGAACTTACCACCATTGAGTTTGATGACGTAGAAGTCTGATGACTCAGGAGTCTGTTTCCTAAGACAGACTCCTGATTTGGACTCTTGTTCTCTAAAGCGTCTTGATGTCGTCCTTGTTGTTTCTTCCTCGATCCAGAGTCTGAGAGCCCTTCCGTCTAACTTTCATGCAAAACATTGCGTCCAGGCCTTTCGGCTCACTTGGGAAAATCCTGTGGTAAACTTCCAAAACTTACGTTAACGCACCAGCACGATTATTTTAAATGCTTCAATTGCTGGCTTGCCGTCTTTCTGTAACTTTCGGGATTGGCTGGTCGTACAGTACCTGGTCTACGACCCCCTCACGAGTTACGTTCAATACATCATTTCTTGAAGTCCGTTGGGGTGTTTAGTAACTAATCGCCATATTCAACCCGATGGCTTTGGAGTATTATTCCACTTCTGTTCTACAAAGAATCACACAAAATTGTTCTCAAATAGGGAGCAACTGCAGTATCGCGGAAGGTCTTAGTTCGAAGAAATACGGTGAATGGGCCGAATAATTGAAATGTGATTGTTTCCAATATGTTTGCTTCTTCTCATGAATCACTCACCACTATATTGGTTCCAGGAATGCAACTACGCAAACCATAAACGCGGGGCATATTTAGCAAGATGTTAATTTGCGTAGATGCTTTATTCCACAAACTGGTTTATTCCTTTCTATCCTTCAGTCTACTATAAAGTGCGCTGCATGTACGTTAAACTCATGAGAGCATGATTGATAGCTCATTGATATGACCTAATTCAATAGCTACTCTATTACCATTATGAGCACTGTTGACTCTGATCGAAGTAAATCCTTCAGTGCTGCTACAGCATCTTGGCGTCCCGGTACTATCAGCTACGTCATGGTACGTGGAAATTATATATGTTTTTATCATTTCCTGCAGAATCAAATCTTACAATGGTGAGAACGACGATTAAGATCCTCATCTAGAGATGGTCTCGGTTAAGAACGATCCTTCAAATTCCATTTTATCAGTTAAATTAGCAACTGCATTCGCAAGAGGACATCTCCTTCGAATCGTGTAAGAATATGAGGTGGAATGACTAGTTCTAGGTAAACTATATTTTGCTCCTGTAAAGAATTGATCAGTGAGGTCCAAGGAAGGCCCTATTGTGCTCTACATTATTTTGGAAAAAATAAGATGTATTTGCACTTGTTGAGCTTTTGGATAAATGGAGGTGCCCAAAGTCTCACTAAATTAAAGTACGTTCAACCAATCGAGGTCTTCGGCAGATGCTAAACCTCGATAAGTATAACGACGTAGCCACTCTCAGAGTAGACTGTACAGTACATTAATGTACGCGAATCTCAAAGGATCTCTGTCGGAAACGTTCGCGCGTGCAATACTTTGTCATTATAGAAATTTAAGACACACGATTCGGCCACCCTCGCTGCCACTGAGTCACTGACCCCGATTTGAGAAATCTTCTGACGTGATCCTCGACACACGCGTGGGACGATGTGACACTGGCATGCTTGTCGCCGGAGAATCTCCGTTCCATTGTCAAACTGGGAATGATTCAATGCAGACTGCAAATCGCATCGGACGGTGGTAGACAAGACTACATTCGGCGGGAGAAGCAATAATAGGGGGAATGTAATTGTATCAAGGTAGGCTCTGTAAGACTGACGATTCAATCAAACTCATCGGCCGGTGATTTGAGTTTATGTAGGGGCACGTCAAGACAGACTTCAGCAAAATCTAACGCCTGGGACGACAAGATTCAATGATGCTGCATTGATGGTATTTTAACCTCTGACTAAGATTAAAAAAAATAAATTTAAAAGCACAGTTAATCGAGACGGAAAATACAAGCAATGTTAAGTATCTGATACTGCAAGGAGAGCAAGAATATAAGCATTGCTACCATCTGCGGTGACGGAAGACCTACGGTCCGTTCTGCAAGCCTAAGGCAGTCCGGAGGTTCGAGCACGGCGGTCCGAAAGAGCGGAACCCGGAGATCGGTCTCAACTCTGCATTGATCGCTATCTATTTCGGTGACGGCCGCTCTGGTTACGACGGCGTCCTTCGGTCCAGGCTCCGACGGGGCACTCCGCGGACGATCACGTGCAAGCGTGAGTGTTCGACGTGGCACGGCACGGGTAGCCCTTGCGTTGGCAAGGATTTCCACCTCTGCCCGCCCCTTCCCAAAGACTCCGTGGGACTGGAGGTACAGCGTGGCCACGTCGCTATCGGCTGCATCTCGGCAGCGTTCGCTTCGGCATCCCAACGAAGCGTTGTGGAATCGGAGGCCTGACTGCTACCTCTCACTATCACTCACACTCGGCATTCTACTCACTTCTCCAGCGTCTGCGCTTCTTCCGAGCCAGGCTGAGACCAGGTTAGTCTCAGCTCGATCTTGATCAAGCGACAACACGCTTTTGGGATTTGTACTGTATCATTTCATTCTCGTTCCGGCGAGAGAGATGTAGTGGAGGTGATTTTGTCCCTCGGCCGGTGCTTCAAGGGCATCGACCGAGGGCGGTTGACATGCCCGAATAGGCGGCGTTTGGACGATACATCAGTGAAGATCGACAAGTGGATAAAATCGAACCCTTTTCCTCCATGTGTTTCAATGCATGAAAAACAAGTCTATACTGGAAGGAAGTTCAGAACTTCTTTACACTTTCGACAATATTTTAGTGGGTCGTAGATTCATTCAACAAAAGACAACACATGGCAGGCACAGATTTGTGCAATACTTCTCAGATACATCTTCCTGAGTTCAATCCACAGTTTAGATTCTTGCATCAAATTAGCCTAAAAAAAGGCTGAACTTATGTTTTATAACAATTTTTTCTAAGGAAGCAAGCCTTAGAAACTCGACATCCAGCTTCCAAGACTGGTCCCTGACGTTTGCTATTCGAAGTGAACTGAAGTCGATTTCGACACATGGCTATCGGACTCTGAGACATGTGTGCACATTTTGTATCCACCAGATCAACTGGCACTCAGGATATACATCGATTCTTGATCTCTAGTTCACATCTCTCTTCCAGGAGCCAGTGTCCCTACATGTGCAATTTATGAATTAGCAAATGATCCATTTCGGACCTTTGGGGCATGAACGAAGTGAAGGTTAAGCATGACCTGCTTTTATAATGCTGAGCATCGTGTCCACGCTCTACACCGGGCAAAGACGAGGAATGAGATGCTTACACAGTGATTACAATTCTAGGCTCGTTGTATAGGCCACTCTAAACTTTCAGTATCAACCGTGGAACGTCCTCTTAATCTCGTATTATGCTCAAGTCTGGGGAAGAGCTCTGGCAAATGTTGGGGAAATGGAGTCGACATTTTTGTGAAAATTGGTTCCAGAAAGCTGCAAAACGTGACGCCTTTCCTTCTAAAAAGAGGCGAAATCTACTACTTAGAAATGTGTTTAATATGGGACTTGTTACAATTTTATATTCTTTATGAAGAAAATTGTGATTTGAACAAATGATCTCGTAGAGAAAAACCTAATCGTCTCGCACCTTCAAAAATTTTCACGCGATGCTACATACGCGCTAAGATACTGGCTTCTACACAACCCGCTTGCAGCCTTCAAAGACTTACTTTGCGAATCTGGAGACTCAATCCAGACGTGTTTACCAACGACAGGAAATTTTGCTCCTACCAACTACGTGTTCCTTTTTGTCTACACCCGAATTTTCTACAAACGAGAAAATCCCGATCTCGGTAGTTCCGAGAGCTACGCTTCAAGCATGCCAAAAAGGCCAGTATCCCAAGTACCAACTCATTGAGTAAGAATATCTTCATGTTTCCCCACAAAAGGTCTTCCTGATATATTTTGCAAACAAAGCGTACAGCCGACCATCATAATGGCTACTGAACTCGAGGTAGGGAATAATAGAGCTAAGTCTGATCAGCTGTTGGCATCTTACTTGTGAGAGAAAGAAAGGATATATATAGTGAACAGACTTTGGTCTTTATATAGTGAACAGACTTTGTGAGTAAGCATACAGTCTGATATCTCAAGAAGTTTGAGCGACTACTGTGAAAACACGAATATTGGAACAAAATATGACAGAACGACAAAATCTATACCAGCTGTCAAGCAGCTAAGTGTGAGTGAGAATAAAAATGTTCTAACCTTGCCACAAAAAATCAAGAGACGAACATTGGCAGAAGATTAATATGAAAGATACATAAATTTTAGTCGTTATTACTAACAAAGTTGCCTGTGGGTAACGGAACTAATATAGCGAATAAACTGAACTGCCTGGTTAGCGTCCGTCCTTCAACGCCACTATATAATGGAAGCCAGCAGCAAGACTTGCTTGCAAACTAAACTACGTACGTTACAATAAAATGTTTGCATGACTTAATCTTGTTACAGGTTTCTGATCAGCATCATGCGCGAGATAAGACCCCCTTAGAGCTGCAAACAACACATCCTATAAAAAGTCAGAAACTCGAGCCAACATCAAAACCATGGCTTGAAAGAGTCGAAGGTTCAGCATGACCGGCTTTGATGCATGCTGAGCTTACACCCTATCAATGCTTTTGAAGGAACAAGAACAACGGACACCCTCCATTCCCTAAGATGCTCAAAACATTGCTTGCTTCTAAACAAGTTGCACACATCCCTCTCATGTGTCCAACATGTACCTTGGAACGGATCCCTTTCTTCTCGTATCATATTCAAGCGCCTGTCGCAGAGCTCTGGCAAAAGCTTTGAAAGTAGCCTCGATGATGTGGTGAGAATTGGTTCCCGCAAGCTGCAAAAATGAGACCTTTGCAAATGAGACCATTTACATCACAACGCCTGAAAATTTGAGGTTTATCCTTATCCTTATTTGAGGTTTATCGTTGAATATCCTTATACTAGCCTTTCGAATAGCTCAAAAAATCATCTCCAAGAGAACACGGTCTCACAGATTCAACAATCGTCAGGCCATTAAAAATGGGCGTAATACAAATGTGCTGCCAAATGGACTTCTAAACAACCCGCTTGCAACCTTCGAGACTTACCTTGCGAATATGGAGGGTCATTCCAGACGTGTTCACCACCGATTGGAAAAAATGCTCCACCAACTACACGCAAACAGATTGTCAAGACCCAAAGTTTCCACATGCGATGTTAGTCCTTTTTTCAAGCCTATGCACATGTCAGCAAATACTACTCGATAATAGAACTTAAGAACCACTGAGTCTCTGACCTGTGTATCGTAGGTACCAACTCGTTGAGTGGGAATGTCTACATTATACCCCAAAAATGGTCTTCCTGATAAATCCTGCAGATAAAAAGTACAACCGAACAGCAGTATGGTTAGTGACTTCCGGCATAGCAGGGTGTTCGATTAGGAGAACCTCATCAGTCTTCCTTGGGAAAACATCACAAAGAACTGGAAAGACTATTACCAAAACAACATGGATCAGAGCTTCATCAAGTGGAGCCGAAAAATCCCCAAAGCGATATATGCCCTTCCTATCTCCTAAGGCCTGGAGTAATGCCTGCACATGTATAACAAACCATTCAGTTTGTAAGTCTCAGCTGATATCTGCAACTTCTTTCAGGTGGGCTTAGCATGTGCTTGAGACCAATTTCACTGATTTACGTTTCAGCAGCTACATTTTTCCTGCTTCTAACCTTCACTGAGTTGCACAAATTGAAATTCATAGAGGCCCTTCCTTATTAGGGCCGATTCTATCTAAAATTGTGTTTTTTCTAGCGACACTATGAAAGTCAATATTGTTCTGAACAAACTTTTCCTACTCACAAAATATAATGCTTACGAGAAAGGAATGCTCGTAAAACTATACGGGATTTTTCTTCATAATCATGAGTTTGAAGCATCATCGCAACACCGCGTCCTAAGGTTCTAAACTGCACTGCCGTCCGTAACAGAAGAAAAAGGGTGAACAGGATATACTTACAGTTCCGACAGCCAAACCAATGTCCTCGTTCGTGTGATGATCATCAATGTGAATGTCGCCCTTTGCCTTCACTGTCACATCTAACAGTCCATGCGACGCAAGTTGCTGTCAAAGAAGACCATTTCCACAGCTTTAGGGTTGACAATATACCAAACAAGGACAGCTCCTGAAGCGATTGCGCATAGGATTTGGTGGAAGAATAAGTATTTTGCATTTACAGTAATATGCAAATAAGATACTACGAAAGAAATGTCAACATGCATTCATCATTGCAATAACGTTTGTGGTCAAATCTACTCAGCTGAGCCAATATTTTAATTGAACGACAAATACAGAACTCACATGTTTATAACAAGGGCATTCCTGCCTAACAACTCCATACTGGAAGAACGCAAGCCTTCCACACCTTCTAGTATAGAGCTCCCGAGTTATTTTGATATAATTTTAAAACGAGGGACTGACAATGATCGAAATTTCCATCTTTCATAACCTCGCCTTAATAATTACAATCTTGGGCCTTTGGAAAAGGAGACAATGACCTAGTTTGACATTCTCATAAATCTGTGAATGGAGCACAAGAGCCTTACATCTAGCATGTGATCGAGAAAGGGTATGCCGGTGTCACAGTCGCAGATTCCTGTCCCGTCCAGATTCAATTCTACTTCCACGCTAGTTTCCTTCGTCACCCGAGACACACTTCCAATTCTAGGTAGCACTTTTTCAGCAGAAACAACCACAAAACAGAGAAATACATTAGGTGGATGCCGACCCGAAACTACAGTGATACATCATTCGGGTCATTCGCTTGACAAAGAATTCCAGCTTTGCTTAGAATATAACTACATTCATTGGTTTCATCTACATGACTAGAATGTCCGGTGGTCGGCATTCATGAGTAGACAGGTGAACTGACGTATCTATGGCCATAAAATTAACAGACAGATTCCCCAAAGGCATCTGTGTTAAAATAAAGGGTACAATACAATCTAATTCACCTACAATTAGTCAAATGCAATCCAATGAACACTTTTGTAACCTACAATCATGTACTCATCCACCTTTGTAAGGGAAAAATCACAGGTAAATTATTCACCTTGTTCGGTAGTGTGAGTGTTAGCGGGCTCTACGATGACGCCACCACCTACAGAAGTGGCACTAATTCTAGTTTCCAACCTCCTCGAACTTCTTCCTTCCCTCTGAGAAGACGATGGGACAGCAACTGATTTTAATTCGGAGTAAAGCGGACAATAATCGCCCACGGGATAAAACTCCTCGTTCGCTTGGCCTACACCGACGGCTGCCCGAGCCGCAGAACTCTGTTTACGACTCTGAGTCAACAAATCTAAGGATAATCGCCCGACTGCTGCTCCGATCCAGCCCAGTCCTTTCGAATTCCTCGTACTCCGTTCAGGCGTGCCATTTCCGCATTGTGTGATCGCAGCAGGACTCGCCAGCCGAACAGCAGACCAGTTAGCAGTTGTGGCTGCCACCCACGCCATCCTGGCTGGATTTCAAGATACAAACCGACTTTTCACTTCGCCTCGATGATATTCCTATCGAACTACACTTTCGGAGATTTCAGAGTTGAGATTCCAAGTGCAGTCGAACTAGATCGTGCAAAGCGGACTGAAAATCCTGCACCCAAACCTCAAACCGCAAACCTCAAAGCCCGAGTCTGGCCAGCTCGAACTTCCTTCGAGCCGAAGCTAGCGGCGACTCTGTGCTTCCGATCGAAGGTTTTAGTGGATTAGATTCGTCGACCCTTGTCGCCGGGATTTCGGACCTGGTCCCGAGCCCGCCAGCCACACTCCCGGCGTGTTGCGGGCGGGCAGAGCAGCGTTTTGGCGAATCGGCGGACGACGCCTGCTGCCTCTAGACTAGCAGCGCTGCTATAGCAGAGCCGGAGAGGTCAGCCATTTGCCCCGCTCGCGGTTTTGACTGCGTCTTAACGAGGGTTAGCGGCGCTCTCTGGGCCTCCCTCTGGAACAGAGTCAATAATAAACATAATCATGCTTGTCATCCTCAGCCCTGCAATTCTCGTTGCTTGTGCCGATTTGCAACACTCTGTATTCGATACGGTCAGTGACAAGCTGCTAGCGATTTGAAGCCATCGTGTTCCATTTCGTGGCAACATTTGTCTACTGGTTCCTGCCGTCAGACTTTTCTGCTTTATTGGAGTTTTGGAATGCCTGGAGTGTGTCATCTCACTGGATTTTTGAAGTTTACTTTATTCCCAGTCTCCTTGCTTCCCCAAAATGGATGTGATGATGGCAGCTTGGGAGATCAAATTCAAAACCGGTTTTCAACGCATGGAAAAAGCAGGCGAGCTCCCACGCAAGAATTCGCCCTCCGGAACTGATTTCTGAGGCGTCAGGACTTTCGAAGTGGATGTGCGCAGACTTCTGCCGATGAGTTCGCCTACCAAAAGCTGGGAATGTGATTTTCGGAAGGGGTATAGAAAATCAGCGGACGCTTTCGGATCCGATAATGAGCTGTGACAATGTTAAGATTCTTACGAGGAGATTCTTATGCGTTCCTGAATTGTGTTTGCGTGCCAAGCGTTTCGCAGCACAGAAGCTGTCATACACAAACGTTATGGATCGTCCCAAGCGCATATGACAACGGCCCCACTTTGGCCGGATGAGGAGATTTGATTGCCAGTCTCGAGATCTCGAACTCAAACTCGGGGGATGAGAACTTCCATCCAGACAGAGCACGGACATGTGAACCTTCCGAAGCCAGAGCTCCAATGGACACCGCAGCCACCAGACTCACCAGCTTCAGAGAGTAACGTAGCATGACTAGACTCTCATCTGAGTCATTAAAAAGGACTGAGAACATTTCACAAAGGATTCCAAAGAGTCCAGGGAGTCACAGAGAACGATCGAACCATATACACAGAAGAAGAACAGCCGGGAGGCAAATCAGCTGGATAACTTGAGAGACCCAGAGCGTCGGACTAAATCCCTGCCATTTGGCTAATGCGATGCTGGCATGTGTTCAACATTGCATCTACAACAAGATCTTCCCTCCCTTGTGACCTTCACCTTTTGCAGGAGAGAAAGAAGTCAAGCACACCACGGACACACGCCATGCACACCAGAAAATACTGACCCCAGACATATCGATCGGCACAGAAGTGACGTCCTCAACAGCGATGTCTAACTTTATGTACATTCTGCTGATCAATGTTCAGACTAGCTATACAAACTCATCGGCTTCACGGGCCGGCACGATGGCTCCAAATAATTGACTTGGGAGGGTGCTGAACAAACTCATCATGTGCTCTTCTCGGCAGTGTTTCATCAGCACAGCAGCAGCTTTTAAACATAATTTGCAACCGAATCCAGGACGATGGGCCCAAATATGTCTTGAGCCAGCGTTCATGCAAGGATTCTTGGTACTCCTGACATTGCACCAACTGCAAATCCCTCATTCCCTTCGTCTACATACCTCCAGAATTCTTCCACTCTGCAGCTTATGGTTTTCAAAAGCGTATCACTCTTTCTGAAAATCCACGAGCCTAAATCGAAGGCTTTACTGTAAGCAATCACCCGGGTAAGTTCGACCATAGCAACCTCGGAAGCACGACAGACAAACGCAATCCGCTCGCTCCATTAGCCCGGCCTGGATGTGGACAGTGAGGCATGAGATCAAGCACGGTGCACAGACAGGTACTCTCCATATCCAGAGCCCGAGTCTTCGTGTCGCGGCAGAGCATCTACAGCCTCACAAAAATGAACTAAGGCGGGCTCTAGTGATCGACTGTCCTCCGTCTGCGATAGAGATCGTGCCTGTCACAAAGGTCGAAGAGTCACCGGCCAGCCAGAGCACCACGCCCATGATGTCACCGGGGAATTTCGACCAGCGCTGTAAAGGAACGACTTTCTTTGCCATTTCCTGCACAGATTTTGTGTCCTTCGACTCAAAAATGCTGTCGGAAGGGGTTAGACCACATGACACGGCATTCACTCGAATGCCGTACTTTCCCACTTCCATGGCCATCATCTTCGTCAGGTGATGCACTGCTGCCATGGAAGTACCGTACATGCTGACCCCCGGATATATCCCCCTCTCAGTCCCTGTTATGGAGGTGATGAAAATGATGGAGCCTCCGGTTCCTGCTTCGCGCATCTTCCGCGCCACAGCTTTCCCCATTCTCCAGCTCGCCTTCACATTCACATCCATAATTCCATCGAATTCTTCGTCCGTCGTCTCCAGAAAAGGTTTCATCGTGGCCGGACCCGAGTTACAGTTGACAAGGACGCTAACGCTTCCAAACACCCCCCATGCCGCATCCACCGCTCGTCCGTAAGCTTCTTCCCCTGCGCCGTGGTCCAGCTCGACCAATCTCACGGAGGCGTCCGATGATTCCCCTCCGGCAGAGCCAGCAGCAGATCGAGGCAGGGACTTTCCAATTAGCACGACTCGACATCCGCGACTCGTGAATTCTCGTGCGAACGCGAGCCCTTGGCCTTCACTTCCACCGTGGATCAGGGCAACTTTGCCGTCCACCTCTGAGGATGGCCATTTCCCCGGCGGTGGTGCAGCCATGAGAATTGGCGATGGGGTCACAGTCTTCGATTCGGAGCACGAGTGGGAGCAAGTTCCGGATCCCCGACTCAGACGGAGGAAGACCGCATCTGCTGAATGATGTTACAAACACTCTTCTGAATCCAGCAGCCCCCTTCAGATACCCTCTGAGGGCGAGAAGACATGCTCCGAGTTCATCGCTCTTGTTACTCTCCACGTGTTGGTGTCGAGACATTTCTCCGATTTGGGCTCCAACTCAGGATTATCGTCGTATACTCGGGGCTCTCGATCGTCACCTCATGCATACAGAATCCGTGACTCCCTGCGACTCATTCTGAGCCACTCTCTTAGCAAGCGCCAATGCAAACATGCGAAGCCGAAAAAGATTCTCCACTGAACGCAGAATCACTGACTAGAATGAAGCCTTCTTTACAGCATGATCGCCCGCCCGTGGCCCTTTAATGGCAAGCAAAAGTGGTTTCCCAATCTCGAGTCTGTCCAACTCTATGAAGTTTCGTGACCAGATAGACCGGCCAAAGGAAAAGAGTATGAAGCGCGTGTTATGCCACATTTTGGAATCCTTCTGCACGTCGAATCAGAGGAATCATTCGAGAAGGCTGAGAAACCAGTAGATGTAAAAAGGTGGACGGTTTGTTTGCCACAATGTTTACGTTTGATATACCATCTAAATCAAAATGTTATCGGCATTAGATAGAGTCACCTTCTGCTGAGAGTGGCCAATGTAGTTGTATGGTGCAATTGTTGCAACCAGCCATCTCTAGTTCATAGAGTTTCACACAAATTTCCACCAAAATAGAGACATTGTTCATAGACACTACTTTTGATCATATCATAAAATATGAACAAAAATTTGTCTCTTCTTCCTCTGGCCATCTTGCTTGCTTTATGGCATCAATTTTTCTTATCAAGTCTTCAAGCTCCATTATCTTTGATCATCACGACAAGAGATTGGATGTCGACAAGGTGAAAAACCCAAATCTATGGGCAGCAAGGAAAAGAGAATAAAATAAACAAGAACTAGGTAAGACGACGGGGCACCCAAAATCCAGTACTCCTATCGAATGAGGAAGAGAACCTAATCAAGAATGTACACTAAAAGAACTAATGGATTTCTATGGGTAAAAAGTCAAATCTTGTAAGGGACTGACTAGGGTTGGTATAATACTGAACATTAAAATTTGGTGAATATAATATTGTATTATACATATTTGATCAAACTAATGAGATGCTAAATTTCCCCTCTGTATTCTTTGATCTCGACACATCTTTAAGCCCACCAGCCCCATTATGGGATCGAAGGAACAAGCTCGACCAAAGAAACAAGCTCGAAGATATAGATTCAATAGAGAGCACTATGAAAAGTAACGCGGGCAAAATCCACACCCAGTCAGCGTGGGTTGAGTAGTCAATTTCCCCTTGTAATTGATAATGGAAATGCATTAACTAGATTGAGATTTCTGGCGATTGCAATTTCGTGCTGGTCAAACGTAGAGATTCTACACACATCACTGTAAAAGGTAGCGCGGGCAAAATCCATACTCTATCAGTGTGAGTTGATATGAAGTAGTCAATTTCTTCTGTAATTGACAATGGAGATGCATTGCAAACTCTCCAGTCAGTTGAGGAATGTAGCCGCCTATAGTTCTTTTCCCCTGCCTATCCCACTCCCTTTGAAGACGCTTGCTACAGAGGCAATTAAGATTTTGTGCAAGTTTTAATTGCAATTTTGTATTTCAATTGATATTTTGAAATTTTGGATTTTGATTGCAATTTCAGATTTTGATTTCAATCATTTGCCTCATATCATGTCCAACAAGTCAACTTTTGCATTCGACGGCCAACCTTCACATTCTATACATAGTCTATTTGATTCCAACAAGTTTGCTATAGACAATCATAAGACCCTGAAGATCATATGCTTGCAGTGCCATTTAGGCATCACGACCAAGGTTGATCGTTCGGAAGCGCATGTGATTATATGCACAAAACGTCATAAATCTATATTTGGTTTGATGGACGTTGTGTCGCAAATGCAATCCAATGATGTCAAGATTCAGCTCAAGTCTTCATCATCGTCAATGATTAGCGGTTCGTCGAAGAAGAAAGTCAAGTTGAATCAATTGTCGGTGGATGCAGAGGATGAGAAGGTCGTGCAGTCGATATCGCCCCACAGATCAGCAAATCTTTGTCGAGCCAATTCATGTTCTCGTTGATTTTAATTCTATAGATGATAATGATAATCTGAATAGTATGTTTGGAAATGCAATGCATCATACGTCTACTTCATTCATTTTCTTCAAATATGTATTATAAAAGAAATTCTTAAATGTGCTTTGACTTGTTTGGACTTCTCCTACTTCTCGAACTATTGACAGCTCTTTATTGATGTCTTTGTACGCTGATGTCATGAACAAGGTATTTTGTAGTCTACGGCAGTATTCTTCTATTTGCTTATCTCTGGATGATGCCACACGAGCAAAGCAAACAGGAATTGAATCTAATAGCATGTATCCAAAAGATTATTTTTTCTAGCATTTTACGTTAAGAGAATGCTCACAATATTTTGGCCAAGTTGGTGGAGGCAAAGGAGCAACTCAGGGTGACTTTAGCTGCTCCAGGTGCAGATATGGAGCAAAACCAAGACGTCCAACCACTTCTTCCTTATCCATCGATTGAAATTATGTTTTTGTTTACTTTGAATAGTCCCAATGTAATGACTTTGTTTTGCAAGAAGGTGTTGCAGTTGCCTGACGTCACTATTGCATTTGGTTGTACTCCACATGATTTGAATACTTTCACATTGGATATTTTCAGAAGTTTGATATTTCAAAAACAAGTGTTAAGGGACAATATACCTAGTGATAACCATTCGTAGTACCCATCTACTCTACTCTCTATGACACCTTGTGTAAAGAGAAACTTGGAATTGCTTATGTGCTTATTATATTCATCAAATCTCCTTGGACCAAAAGTTTGAAAATGTTTGCTCGGCTGAACTTGTTCATTTATCTTCTTCCTTCCACCATATCGGTTGATGAATTGGATATTGATATTGATGAAATTGTGAAGTAGCGGGTTCTAGATATCATATTCTGGAAGCGATCAACAACCATGAAAGTTTTTCTCCGGCCCATTTGTGCAATCACTCCACATTTGAAATACTATGCTTCTACAATCTTTTCCATTTGGGCATGTTTTTAATTGATTAAGATTCACATTGTATCTCTCTCAAAAGAGATTCGCACAGTTTTTGGTATGAGGAGAACTCTCATATTGAAGAGCTTGTCAAGTTGCTTTATGGACGATTAGCCACAATTTATTATGCGTTCATGTCATTGATATTCTCTATATATCCATATTACCATTAATTTTGCTTGCATGTTGAGACCAAGTATAGTTTGGAGTTCATGGATTTGGGAAAAAATTTCATGTACGGGCAATGTCGAGCAATTCTTTAGCAGTTCGCTAAGAATTCAACCGACCTAGTTGGACAGTTCGAGAGTCAAAGCTTAGACTACAATATGCTACAAAGGCGCTGTTCTTTGTCAACAAGAGATATCTCAAAGAGATGAGGAGAAGTAACCTTTACTCAAGAAATTTTTATCTCTCACAATTGCAATTGATGATGCACAAGAGCCAGAGACAGAATCACCCGAATAGATCATGGAGAATAAGGCTCGATTGGAGAAGATTGCCACAACTGAAGATAGAGAGTTTACATTCCTAGACTCAGAAATTAGTTTTGAAAAATTTGTTTTAGAACTATTTGGTGAAGATTATGATGCAAACAGTATCAAGGAAGAAGTAATGAGGTTTGTGAATGTGTGAATTTTGACATAGGGCTACTATAAAATTTGGATACGATAAGAATCACTATCACTTCTTGAATATGTTTTTGATGAGTAAGCAGTGCGTTTGCTTGAACATTCTGATATAGTTTCTACTCTCAAGTTTTGATCATTGGAAGATTATTAGCCTTGCTCTTCTTTGTGATACTAACTTTCATCAAGTATTTTCCAGGCAATAGTATACTGGTTTGATAGTCTCTAATCTATATGGAATCTTAGATTTTAGATGGAATCTAAAATTTTAGATGGAATCTAAAATCATGTATCACAAAGTTTTTTGCATGCATCAAGTTCATAATCTATTGTATTTGTAAAAGAAGTTTTTATTTGCTAATTTCATTTTAATGCACCTAGAATATCTTATCCATTTACATCTCGTGTCTACACATCTAGTTATGTGTTTCATTATTGTAACCATCTTTAGTTAGTAAGAACTAAAGTAGAGGTTACTCTAAATGTTGATATAGATACTTTAGAGTACACTAGTCGTAGCTGCCACGTCAGCAATCCACGCGCTTGGCGCGAGTAGGTGTGCTAGTTGATAGCGCCACGTCAGCGATCCGTGTGCTTGTTAGGTAAGGATTGAGTGTGTTAGTTAGTGTGTTAGTTGGAAGCGCCACGTAAGCGATCCGTGAGCTTGTTAGGGTTATTCGCCACGTCATCTATCCACTAGGAGTGAGATGGATGGTGGAGATAAGATCTTATCTCCTTGTACTTGTTGGTGAGAGCTTTATAAGGGAGAGGAGAACCATTGTTGGTATCTCTTATCTTCAGAGTTTACATTTCTATCTTCGAGTGAACTTTTCTCTAAACCTTAGTGTTACAATGGTATCAGAGCGATCTTGCTCTTTCTTTGAGTGTGGAGTACCCCCCATGGAATAACAAGTGAGTGATGATGGAGTGCAGTTTTGAGAGTGTATAGAGGCTGGCAGAGTTCATTGATTTGCATGTAAAGAGAGGTGGAAGGGAGAAAATTGTGGTTTTGCAGATATGGACGGTATTGACAGGAATCCAATACCGCACTGGCCAATTCCTTACCTATTTGATATTCACCTTCGTTGCATGGAGAAACATCATTTTCGGATGTACTTTGTGGCTTGCTGGGGTGCAGATTTTATGACTAGAGTGATGGAGTCGAGAGTGCCATTGATTCTACCAATAGTTACTTATAAAGAGACTTGGGATTGTACCATATACATTCTACACTGAATGTTTCATGGATTTGAATCGCAAACCACTTGTCCCGGTTCGGTTCAGCACTTATGTAGAGATTAGAACAGTATACCGACAGAAGAGGATATGGAGAGATTTTCTTGTGAGGAATTATGGAGAGGAGTACTATAGAGCTATGATAGAATCACCTGCACCTTTTGTGACTCCTTTGTTGAGAGGTCACATAGTGATTATACTCACTTTGTATTAGAGGGAGTGTGAGAAAGCATGAGGACATCAATCTATATGGGTGAGGTTTTCAATGCAATCATGACGAAGATGAAGGAGTTGAGAAAAGCGATAGTAGATGGGCATACCAAGCAACAAGCCATGGAAGATAAAATCTTCGCATTGGAGAGTGATAAAGTAGAGAGAGAAAGAGTTGGAGAGATGGAAGTTGAACCTCAAGTTCAAGCTTCCCAAGTTCAGCCAGAACCAGCTCCTA